GCCTCCAGTGGGAGGGAGTTCCAGAGGCTGGGAGCAGCCACAGAGAAAGCCTTCTCCTATGCCCCCTGTGAGGGTGATGCGACCAAAATAAAAGCCTCCCTTCAAGATCTTAAAAGCCCAGACAGGGTCAACAGGGCCCTTTAAGATATATAGTTTCCTTCTTGTAATCCAGACACTCATGGTGCTGAAGGGACTTTTACTCCTTCTGTGACTTCTTATACACTCTTAGATGTTTCATCTTCAGTTCCACTGGTCTGGGAATTTTTTTATGCCTTATCGTTGAGAAAGACCTTTCGGTCAAAATGTACTGGATTCCTTTGATGTTTGTCTTTCTTACTACTTCCGGTGTGTTTTGCAGCTTGATCTTTTTTTTTTAGCTTGTGTGACATTTTGTTTACCCCTGTGTCTCCCACAGAGGCCTTTTCAGATCCTTATCAGGGAGAAGGAGAATGATAATAGGGCACACGGATTTTTATTGAAACCTGTTCCTATTTTTCATTGATTTTTTCCAAGTTTCTGTTTCTCCCAAATGTTGTGGTGTTCTTTTCAGGTTGTGGTCAGGATTCATTTCCTACTTAGAGTTTGTATCCTTGAAGGCTGAGTATGGCCCGCATGCTGCAAGTTACCTGCTCTGTTATTTCAACGAGAGACTCCCTGACAGAGGATCTGTGCCGGTCCCCTTGTTGAACACATCCTGCCAGCCACGGGTGGAAACTAAAACAAGAGACACCGGCCTTAGTTCAGATCTAAGAACAGCCGAGGGGTTTTGTTTCACCCTCGCTGACTAGTGCTCTCCCTTGGTTTGGGATGAATCAGAAATTAATCTCTTGATTTCTCATTGGTGGCAAAGTCAGTCTAACTCTAAGTGTCACATGGCGTGTCTGAGGAGAGCAGATTTCTGTATTGTAGCATTCTCTGTCCTGTTTTATTGGGTCTGTTCCTTGTTTTGAAATGGCATTTCTTCTTTCCACTCAGGTTTGATTGTCTAACTTTTTTTCCAGAGAGGATCGTCTGGGGAAGAACGAGTGAAACAGGACTATGTAAAAAAGTGGTGGAAAGCAATAACAACCTCCGCAGGAGAGATGATGATGGAGATCAAGATGAAATGAGGGGAAAAGTGGGAGACCAAAGAAACGAGGGGAGGAATGGCTGTCTGGATGGGGATTTAAGTGAAGGATTGGCCCACCAGACCCTGGTTGATGGCGAGAGAAGGAAGGAGAGGCCTGACTGTGAGAAAAGCGTCGTTCATACATCGGCAGTGGGTCACCCTCAGAACAGTCCCACGGGGGAGAAACCATTTAAATGTGCAGATTGTGGCCTGAGCTTCAGAAAACAGAGGGAACTCACCTCCCATCAAAGGATCCACACAGGAGAGAAACCCTTTCAGTGCCAGAAGTGTGGGAAAAGCTTCAGTTTTAAGAGAAACCTTATCACCCACGAAAGTATACACACAGGGGAGAAGAGACATAAATGCCCGGAGTGTGGGAGAAGCTTCCGCCAGCGTCAGAGCCTCACCTGCCACCAGAGAATTCATACAGGGGAGAAGCCCTATAAATGTCTGACCTTCAGAGGAAATCAGCAGCTCAGATACCACCTAAGAATACATACAGGGGAAAAACCCTTCAAATGCCAAGAGTGTGGGAGGAGCTTCCATTATAGCAAAGCCCTTACCTCCCACCAAAGAATGCACACAGGGGAGAAACCCTTTAAATGCCAAGAATGTGGAAAGCGCTTTTATCAGAGTGGACATCTGATAGCACACCAAAACATACATACAGGCGAAAAACCATTCAATTGTCTTGAGTGTGGAAAGAGCTTCAGAAATTCCACACATTTTCACTATCATCAAATAATCCACAAAGGAGAGAAACCATTTAAATGCCTAGAATGTGGGAAGACTTTCAGGCGGAAGGGCACCCTTAATATCCATCATAGAGTCCACACTGGAGAGAAGTTGTTTAAGTGCCTGGAGTGTGGAAAAAGCTTCTGCCTGAGTCAAAGCCTCACCTACCATCAAAGGATCCACACTGGGGAGAAGCCATTTGCATGCTTAGAGTGCGGAAAGAGCTTCAGTAGACGCTCATACCTTACCTCCCACCAGAGAACCCACACAGGGGAAAAGCCGTACCAGTGTACAGATTGTGGAAAGAGCTTCAGAGACAGTCAACAACTTAGCCTCCATAAAAAAATCCACAGTGGGGAGAAGCCCTTTAAATGTTCGATATGTGGGAATAGCTTTATTTGTAGCACTTATCTTGTCCGCCATCAAAGGATCCACACAGGGGAGAAACCAAAGAAATGCCTGGAGTGTGGGAAAACTTTCCTTCAGAATATACAACTTACTCTCCATCAAAGGACGCACACAGGGGAGAAACCCTACAAATGCCAAGAGTGTGGGAAGAGTTTCCTTTGCAGCTCACATCTTACCCTTCACCGAAGGACACACACAGGGGAGAAACCCTACAAGTGCCAAGAGTGTGGGAAGAGCTTCACAAGGTCAGGGTTTAACTATCATCAGATAATGCACAGAGGAGAAAGGCCGTTTAAATGTTTGGAGTGCGGGAAAAGCTTCAGATTAAGTCAGCAACTTATCTGCCATGAAAGAATCCACACCGGAGAGAAACCCTTTAAATGCCAGGAGTGCGGTAAAAGTTTCCGTCACAACCAAACACTTACCTCTCACCAAAGCAAACTCTATGAATGCCAGGAGTGTGGGAAAAGGTTCTGTTACAGCCGAAACCTGATCTACCACCAGCGGACGCACACGGGGGAGAAACTCTTTAAATGCCAGGAGTGTGGGAAGAGCTTCAGCCGCAGGACCCGGCTGACCTCTCACCAAAGAACCCACACAGGGGAGAAGCCCTTTCAATGCCAGGAGTGTGGGAAGAGTTTTGCGCAAAGTTCAAACCTGAGCAGCCACCGAAAGAAAATGCACGCTAAGGAGAAACCCTGAAAATGCCAGTAATGTGTTAGGTGATCCTGTTAGAGCAAAAGCTGACCATCAACAGCTATGACATACAACGATGTGGGAGAGAGACTTTAAATGCTAAGAGTGGAAAGAGAGAGAAAACACACACTAGGGAGAAGGTATGCAAAAAGAATAATTGAATTGGAAGGGGCCTGTTGGGTCATGGAGTCCAACCCCTGGCTCAATGCAGGAATCCATGTAATGCCTTCCATGGGGCAACGTTTGGGTCATGGCATATTAGAATAGGCCCGGGGGAAGCATCAACTATGCACCTGTAGGAATGCAGTATAAGTGATCTTGTAATTTTGATAATCAAAAGGGCCATCAAATTTGAAATATATGGCGGTTGGCAGAGGAAGGAAACCTTGATATACTGAATGTGGAAAGCTTGAGGTGTTAACTGTTAGAAACAAGTCAAGATCAAAACTGCAAGTCTGCTTTTATTTATTTATGAATCTTCCAGCAAAATCAGCATCTGTGGAGCGGAGTACTTTGCACAGTGCAATCTCTGAACATTTCTCTAAACTTGAAAATGTTTAGTTTTTAAACCATCATGCCAGAATCGCTCAGCCAGAATTGGGAATTTTGGGAGTTGTCCTTAAAAGAGACATATTCTCCTCCCCTGCACAGAAACTCACATTTCTTTCATTTTATTTCAATCTGTTTTATGCAAGTCAATTTTTCCAAAGGATATTAGCCAGATTCTTACTGGTGTGTAAGGTTTGTGTAACTTTATGTTGCTACTTGCAGCTAATCAACAAGATGCCAGGGCATGGTTCTGCCATGTGCCTTCTTACGGCTCTGTGTCAATTAGCCTCAACAAGTTACAGTGGTGCCTCGCTTTACAATTGCTCCATTTAATGACGAAATCGCATTATGGTGAACTTTTTGCGATCGTTTTTGCGATCGCTTTTGCAATCGCTTTACGTTTCCTATGCGGGAATTTCGCTTTGCAATGATTGGCTCCCTGCTTCGGAAACCGAATCTTCGCAAAACAATTATTTTCAGACAGCTGATCAGCAGTTTCAAAATGGCACCCCACTGTTTTCTGGGATTGATTCCTCGCTGCACCGGCAGTGAAAATTAACATCGTTAAGCGAGGCACCACTGTATACAAAAATTAGGTGGACACCAGTAGGATTCTGGCCACCGTGTTGCCCGGCTTTCTTCATCTAACATGGGGGCAGAGTATGGTAATTTAACTGAAAGGTGTAAGCAAAGTTGCTATTCAAGTTAAATGCTAATTTAAGTTAAAAATGTACATATATCAGGTCCCTGGACTCTTTTTCTGCCCTTGCTATTCAGTTCCAGTGCTATGTGTGGTACAGAAATTCACCTTGTTCCTTTCAGCAGTTCTTAATCTAAGTGTTCAAGACAGGAGTGTGGAAGAAAATTGTTTAGGATTTTATTGATTTTTTTTAATAAAAGAAATGGGATTTAAGGTGAATTGGGAAGAGGGTTGAGTTTGCTTACTGTTTCCACAGCAAAGAGTTCCACCTTTATGAGATTAGTGACATTTTGCTGGATCTGTTGGTAATGGTGTGATAGTTTTAATAAACTTGTTGTGCAATCAGTTATAAAGCCTCTATGCCGTATGATCCGTAGGGTTGTCAAAGTCTCACACACTGTGGTTTCCTTTTATTAGGCAAGGTTGTAGGCCTGGGAGCTTGACCAGAGCTTAACTCCCCCATGGACAGATGGGTCTCAAAAAGTTAATTTTTTCAGACTCTGCCATAGACTTGGACCATTGCTTGGTCAATGGCCTGGCTTCACTGGGAGCCCTAGTGCCTTGGCCTCAGATCGGTTTCCCATGCCCCCCAACCCAGTCTGCTTCCCCAGAACCCTGAGTCTCCATGAGGACCCATAGAAGTCTTTCTTTAATCTCACTGCTATGTGTATGTGGGAGGGGGGGTTCAAAGGAGTTTGTAGCCGGGAAATGCTGTTTCTTCCCACAAACATCTTAAATCGACTCAAACTCCATCTCAACGGGCTGAGAAATGTCCATTCAGCTGGGACAAAAACTGCAGCTATTCTTGTAAGCTTAATTGTACAAGATGGTTCTGGTTTTCCTGTGGAAGAACAGGAGAGAAAATTGGAGGATTGCCATACTTTTTCATAACTCATTTTCCCCCTCAGATTTTGGGGGGTGCAAGTCTCCATTATCAGTCCGTGAGTTGTCATATTGCCTGGGGAAGATGATTTGATTTTCTCCAAAGCCTTGGTTAAACACTTCAACCCACGGCTGGCGTAACGTGAGCAGTTAGTTATCCATAAAGTTCTCCAAAACTGTGCTTATAGCAGATTAGTGTTTCCTGTCAGTTTTCACATCTGTACATAATACAAATACAATCACATGGATGATCTTGGCCTTGGTTTCCAGTGAAACATCCTGAAACTTAAGGCCGGGTATTGTTGGTTGTTGTGGATTTTTCGGGCTCTTTGGCATAAAATGCAAAATAATACCAAAGGGGGGGGATTGTTCCTTAAAAGCCACTATCATTGGACTTCCCAGAAAAGGAAACCGCAATCCTTTCTAAGTACCCACAAGATCACATGGATGGTCTTGGCCTTGGTTTCCAGTGAAACATCCTGAAACTTAAGGCCGGGTATTGTTGGTTGTTGTGGATTTTTCGGGCTCTTTGGCATAAAATGCAAAATAATACCAAAGGGGGGGGATTGTTCCTTAAAAGCCACTATCATTGGACTTCCCAGAAAAGGAAACCGCAATCCTTTCTAAGTACCCACAAATAAAATTTTCCCTGGCCACGTGGTCCAATATTCTTCAAAGGCGGGAGCTCCGGAGAACTTGAAAAGCTTGTGAACATCTGTGGTCCAACTTTTTTTTGGTGCAGGGAAGTTAAAGAACAGGCAACAAGCAATTCAGCTGAAGATGTATTCTCAAAGGCTTTCACGGCTGGGATCTGATGGTTGTTGTGGGTTTTTCTGGCTCTTTGGCCACATTTCGGAAGTTGTTCTTCCTGACATTTTGCCAGTCTCTGTTTCTGTCATCTGCAGAGGACTAGAGTAGGAACTCTGTTCATGCTCTGTTGCTGTTTGTTGACTGGTGAAACGTCAGGAAGAACAACTTTCAGAACACGGCCAAAGAGCCCGAAAAACCCACAACCGTCAGCTGAAGATGTTCCGAGTCAATGGGGAAGCCCTTTCAGCCAAAAGTTACACCCCCCTGATATAACTGTAGTCCCCATATCCTTCGGCCCAGCAGCCAGAACATGGAAGAGAAGCTCAGCAAAATGAAGGGCTTCCATTCCAAAGTTGGAAGCAGGGATGAAAGGTCTGATACAAGTTCAATAAAATAAAATCAAGAATTTTTTTAAAAAATAAAAGTTTTAGGCTGGTCCCAGAAGGAAGCCACACCTGCCTTGGGACAAGACTAGGAGAAATGTGACAAGAGGGTAAGTGGGTGGGTCTTATTATATTGTAATTTATAACAACTAAACACCTAAGATAGTTAGAACTAAGTAAACACATAAATATATGTGTGTCTTCATGAAATCATAACTAAATGCTTCTCATGCATTATGTTCATGGAAATGTGTATGGAATATCCACAATATTATTCTTTCTGTGTCTTTTTAGTTCTTTTACTTCTGTGATAAAATTTCCCTTGAACACAGATAAATAAGATATTATTCATAAAATGAATATTGACATAAAAAAAGAGGAAAATCAAATACGGGATTGATTGACTCTCTGAAGGAAGCCACGGGCTTGAGTTTGCAAGAGCCGACCAGGGCTGTTGAGGACGTGGTATTTTGGAGAGCCCTCCTTCATGGGGTCGCCATGAGTCGGAAGTGACTTGCCGGCACAGAACAAGAAAATAAAATGTCACTATATATGGCTTAAAAAGCAGCCAGAATCACGTTGCAAAATACTGCATGTGTAAGGAAGGGCAAATCTGCATTTCTTTGCAATCTTCTGGCTGTCGCTTGAGCATCCAGCTGCACCATCAAGCATGTGACCTGAGTGTGTGCAATTGCACAACAGCCATCGAGAAGTACTGCACACAACAGCACAATTTTGGGTTTATGCTGTGCATACCCAAGAGGATTCTGGCGGGCTGCTGATTTATTTATAATAATCCTACTATATTTTACAAATGTGAATCCTCAAGTCCAGCCAGCCCCTCTCAAGTGGGGACTCGAGCTCTCAAATCCTCCACGAAATCAAACACCTTTATTAAACGAAACTCATTCAATACTTCCCTTAAATGTATTTTTAATCTCTGTTAGTAAGGCCAGGTAGGTAGAGAAAAGAGGGGGGGCAGGCAGGCAAGAAGCAGCTCTATGGCTCCCTTAAAGTATTCTTAATCTCTGTTAATAAGACCAGGTAGGTCGAGAAACGGGAGGGGGGTCAGGCAAGAAGCAGCTCTATGGCTCCCTTAAGGGCTGATCGTCCCTCTAGAACCATAGAGACAGATTGGCAAGGAAGGGCCGTCTCTATGGAAACAGCCAACCGACTTCAGGAAGGGAGATACCCGGAAGAGAACCACAATGGAACCGCCCTCTCTCTTTTTGGGTCACGTGATTGCTTCCCAGCCAGAAATCAAATCCTTGGGCAGGCAATTAAAGGTGGCGGATTGTTTTTGGGGCAGGAGGCGGCGAGGCACTTGCAGCCTATGTAGCCCATCTGCTGGGTCGTAAGGTGGCCTCTCTTAGGGAGAACAGTCCTCCTCCTTCTGGGGGCATACAGGCAAAACCTCTTCAGCGAAGCCACTTGGGTGGATATTGCCTAGTGGGTAGAGGCAGGGTGGGAGTCCTCAGTTCCCGGGGGGGGCCACAAGTGGCCCGTTTTAGTCAGGACAGCCCTCCATTGGAATAGCTGTGAAGGTGGCCCTCCAGGAGCAAGCCTTCGGGGTCCCACAGGTCACCTGGTCATGCTGTTCCTCCCGTCTCGGCTCAAAAGGCCGGAGATGCCCCTGAGTCTCCCCTGAGATGATCTGCAGCTGCATTGCAGAGGTGAGTTCCAGGAAGGGGACAAACGGGAAAAAGAGTTAAAAATAGAAGGTAGAAGTGTCTGGGCATCTCCGATGTGTTACGTATATATTTTCCCTTGGAGGGGGCCCCAGACGGCCCACATCATTAAAAGACAATATTTAAATCTAGGAACAGTAAGTATACAAATATTAACAAGGATCAAACGAACACCACGCTAATAATGACAAACGAAAGCAACACTAAAAACACATTTAAAGCAGTGAGTCACAATGTTAGACCAGCTGTCCTGAATAAAAGTCACGTCCATTTATTTGCTTCTGCTTTTGAAGTCTAGTAAGTTGAGGAGGGTTTTTTTTTTAAAGTCCTCACTTGCTTTATACCTAAGTCAGACATACTAGGAAGGTAAGCAAGCATAAATTTTTAATATTACTTTTTTTTAGATTGCAACTCACAGAATTTCTCAGCCACCGCTTGTCCTTCAAAAAGTAAATTTCCAGGCCTAGGATCATAGCATAATCTTTTACATATGGGCACAAGTTGGAACATGTCATGATGACCATTAATGGTATGGTTTGGTATGTATGAAAATAAATGCCCAGGAAATAAAAAATGTTCTGTCTCTCAACATGACACTTCACCTTTTATGTCTCTGAGACATTATGAGACCACACATGGTCAGCCTTTGTAAGTACTTGTATTGCCCTGGTATGAGAACAGTATTTGTGGGTCTGACTTTTATTTTTTCTTGTTCTGTATTCTAAATAAGCCTTAGAAATATTAACTGATTCCCTTTGTGGATGCCCCTTCGTCACCATCCAACACCCCAACATTTATGATGGAGGTGAAGTGGTTACAATCTTTATCCCTGGCTGTATATTGGTCCAACAATATCCACACAGATCAGGGTGCCTTTCCTAGTGGAGCCAAGAAAAAAGGATGTATATAAGGATACCAGGCTGCATGTTACTGTAGTCTTTTTCTCTCTTTGTGTGTATTAATGGGGTTGGATAAAATATGTCTGCAGGGAGGAGGAGGAGGGGAGAAGGAGACAGGACAAGTCAAACATCTCAAGGTTCGATGTGGAACTGTGATCAAATGCAAATAAAGTTTTCGCACCACATGTTAACAGATGTTTTCTTATAAGGAACTAGCATGAAACAGGATAAGGAAACATCCTACCCTTTTTCTTTGTTTCCCTCACAGGCAGTGAGAAAGACATCCGTGGAACATCCTGGATCCCCTCCTCTTTGTGAGGAAGTGAAGAGAGTCACTATGCAGCCAGCGCAGGTGAGTGGAGGGAGTACAGAGGCTATAATATGGTTGCATCTGTGTGCACACCCTTAATTTAATACCTTGTCAAAGCACCTTTTGATTTTATTACAGCACTCAGCCTTTTTGGGTATGAATCTATCAGTACGGCACATCTTGACTTGGCAATTTTTGCCCACTCTTCTTTGCAAAAATGCTCCAAATCTGTCTGATTGCAAGGACATCTCCTGTGCACAGCCCTCTTCAGATATTCAATCAGATTCAGATCTGGGCTCTGGCTGGGCCATTCCAAAACATTAATCTTCTTCTGGTGAAGCCATTCCTTTGT